TTAGAACACTTTAATAAAGTGACAGCTGTTTATTTTGACATCAAATTTGTTTTTAATATATTTTTCTAATTGTTCCAATAATTCTAGATATCTTTAGAGCTTCTCTAATATTACTTTACTTTTCTAAGATATTCACTAAATAGAAAAAGAATATTTGATACTTTTCCAATTTTATATTTCTATTTAATTATCTAATTACAAATTGATTACAAGATTACAATTTTGAATAGCCTCTGGATATCTATTTTAATCATTTAAAGCTTTAACTAAAAATAGTTCCATCTAAAATACTTTTTTCAACATAAAATTCTTGTACTTTTTCATTTTTTTTAATAGCTTCATCCCATGATTCAATAACTTATTCAAACAACCCTTATTTAAATAATGCTTAGGCTAAATTCAAAATAATATATTAACCTTTGAATTTATAGATATACATATCATTTTTATGTATGAATTCATTACATAATTTAATGAGTTAATCTTATTCATTTAATTCCGATAGAGCTTAAACTATTAAATAATATAATCATTTATTACTTTATATCTTGACTAAAAAAAAATAGTTATTTAACTTTTATTTATCACAGTTGCAAAATTATATTACTTCCTTCCATTTTTATTATTTAGTTAAAGCAATAGCTTAAATTATTAATAATTTTCGTACCTTTTTCCTCATAAATACCAGGGTGTACCATTATTGAAATAGCTTGATCATAATTATCTATTATTTCTTGATCTTTTCCCATTTTTTCTAAAATTTCTCCTAATCATATACATTTAAAGATTACCTTTTTTTCGATATAAAAGCAATTGATATTTATTATGTTTGAGCCCTAAATTTAAACATTCCAATATTTCTTAATATTCTTCTAATTATTCTAAAGCTTACACTAAAGATATCTAAAATGAGATTTACCTTTTTCTAAATAGAACGAGTAATCATTTTTATTATAGGTGATTCCTTAACCCCAACAGTCTGCAATTTCTCTCCATCCTTCATTATTTATAATTCCATTATTTAGAGTATAAAAACTTTTAATAGAGTTAGCTTTGAATATGGATGATTTAGAAATTTACCTTTCTAAATGTAATATATTTTAAACTCTTTATTATTTTAAATTCCTTAATCCCAAAATTCAATTATTTCTCTAAATTTATATTATTCGAATATTATAACAGTTCTAATTTGATCATTAATTCACGACCTTATAAATATTCATCCTAGTCTGATACATTTTAAAAAATTAAATGAAACATCTTTAGCATTTTTTGTTCTACCAAATTTCTTATAAAAAGTATTCAATTTATGAAAAATAAATAGTACTTAAGCTAACATATTGTAAAATAAGTGATGGCTTTTTCTTGATAAAAATTGATATCATGAATGTTATTTTAAATTCCTATTCTCAAGTATTTAAAACTTCCTCTAATTTCCCCAATTAAGATAACGATTATCTATTTAATTTTACTGAATATACCCTTTTATTCATATATATGGATATTATTTTTCTTATTCTCAATATTTTTATTCATATATTCGAAAGTTACATTTTATTTGCCTTATAAATTTAGCTCATGTGCTACTAAATTTAATTATCAGACGAATTTTAATTCATTATTAGAAAAAATTTAAAAATCAGTCTATTGTTATATGTGTATAAGATGGAAGTTATAATTATAATAATGTCGAAAACATTTTGTAAGAATAAATAGATAATAATTCTGAATACAAATTGAAGTGCAATGGGAAAATTTATTTATTAAAAATCCAGAAACTTTGATTTTAGGTCCAACAATCCTCTAATGTTATAAACGTTCTACTAATTAAATAAGGTGAAAATATATTCAATTCATATAATATAATTTAATATCACCAAAATTATTTATTCTTGCTTAAACTATTTTCTATTTCTTTGTCGTCTCGATAACAATTTTAAATGTTCTTGGATTAGAACAACCTCATTAGCATTACTTTTACAGTAATCAAAAGTATTTTGGCCATTAGCGTTTCTTTGATATTTCATGTTATATTATTTCATAATCCTTAATTATTTAATACGCATTTTATCATAGATGAATATCTATAATTGTCATTAAGCAAGAAAATTAATTTAGTATTTTTGTTGAATAGAAAGTTACTTATGTAATTTGATAACCTGTATTGGACAGTAGTTTTTGAATAAATTATACTTAGAAGATTTACACTCTTAATATTGTTTTGCAAGAAAAAAATCTAATTGTATCAGCTTCAAATAAAATCCTCTCATTTTGCAGTAAATGATGCTTTTTGATTAAGTTCCAAAACATCACATCAAGATCTACAATTTAGAGACATCTAAATATAAAAAAATAGAAGTCAAATTATCATATGGTATTTAACCGTAGGGTAGGCAAAATAAAAATAAAATTCTGCTAAATAATTCTCTACTTATTACTTCCTAGTAGACTAGTAACCAAAATCTGGGTTGTTTATTTTTCCTATCTCATAATTAATTCAGTAACATCTATTTTTGAGTGTTGAAAAAAAATAAAAATAGAGTACAGAAACCTAAATAAAAAGCAATCGGGAAAGAATAATTACATAGATAAATGTCACAATCGAATATACTTGTTGATTGCCTATTAAATAATTAATTACGATAGACAATTAAAATTTATCAGTAGTTAATTAATTCAATTTATTTTTTCATGACCTTATATATCTATTAAAAAACCTTATCTTCCCTCAAAATTAAAAACTAAAATTCATAAGAACTGTTAATAAAATTAACAGTATGAATATTAATATAATCTAAATAGGAGGCAGTAACTTGGAATCCCTTTTATTGCAAAAATTTTTCTTATTCATTGATGAAGATCTTTTTTTTAATTTTACTATCTGAGATCTTCAAGATTTTAGATCTAACATACTTCTTTAACCTGTAATGATTATGTAAATATCATAAAAAAAACTTTATATATTATGTACTATGAAAAGTGCTCTAAAAACTTAAAAAATTAATGTTTAATAAAGAAAATAATCAATTTCATTATTTTCCTAATTTTATTTAATTTATTTAAATTTATAGAAATATGAAAGTTGAGATGCTAAATGGAAATTTTGATTATCTTAACAAGTTTTAGGTTTTTACAAGCATAATATGCAATTCGGATTATTAACTAATCAAATGTTATTAAGATTTGATAAAATCATATCAATTATTTTAATAATAATGAAACTTGCATTAAGAAACTAATTGTCCATTATTATATATTAGAGCAACAACTTTTTCAGATATATATGAGAAAGATTTTAATAATTGTATTTGATTAATAAAAAAATTTAAACTAGAAAGAAGTCAGAATTAATTATTAGAAGAATTAAGATGAGAATAATTAATTTATCCTTGAAACTAAGCAGCTATTGGATTAGGCAGAGAATGGACTATAATAAATAAGATAATTGTAACAACACACTATAAGAATGAATTGGAGACAGTCTTTGATAATTTTTCAAAAATTACACACATCGAATTACTATAAATGAATGTTAATTATTAGGAAAATTTTCAATTGGATCTAATATAAATTTAGGGACCTCTCCTTTAATTGATTTTTTGTTAAAAATAGAATTATTTATCCTTTAATTAAATTTTTAGCTTTTTATTTTGAAAAGGACATTGAATCTGTTTTATATGTAAAAGGTAATAATTAGAGTATTTAAAATAAAAACTTTGCGTAATGATTTATATCTTTGTAACTGTTAATTGAATATTTGAATGAACCATTGTATATATATATTCAATTAAATTACTCTGCTTTATCTATGATCTATTTATTATATAAGATTTATCAAGAAATGTTTATAAATATTACCTTAATTGTTATTTTTTAATGTAACTGTATATAATATTTTCAAAATCAAAAAAGCTTTATTAGTTGATTCATATACCCAATGGATATATATAAACTTTATTTCAAGTAATTTATAAATACATCTTAAATTATTCTTTAACTGGCAGAGAATATTCAAGTTGAAAAACTATTTAATGAAGAGTGAGCAATGTTTAGTTTTAGAATACAAATGAAAGTGTTTTATTTTTTAAAATATTAATCAACTTCATTTTGGAGTAACTCTGAAAGATATTTTTAACATAAGGAAATATAATTTAGAAATAACTTCAAAAGATCATAGATTTTCTGAACTATTTATTAAAAATACATAATATTATATTGAAATTGATTTATGGAAGTAATGTATAATTTAGAAACGAAATAATCATCATATTTAAATAATAACTAATAAAATTCTATAAATTCATCTAAAACATTGCAAAATTCCAAAATATAAACTATGAATTAACAAAATACCAAATAAAATATATATTTCTAATTTTTAAAACAAATATTGTTAGTTATTATTAATATTAATGAAAAATTAATGAACCAGAAATTTAAGGTTATTGTCATTTTTATAAAAAGTAAGCAGAAGCAGGGTCACAGTAATGAAAAAGTTAGAATAGTTAAAATTTATCGCCTTAAAAATTGATATTATTCAAAAATTTATTTTTTTTAATTATAATCTTGATCATTACTCTATTGAATTATTCATTTGGTCAATCTTAATTATAAATATTTAATTCTCTTGTAANGAATGAATTGGAGACAGTCTTTGATAATTTTTCAAAAATTACACACATCGAATTACTATAAATGAATGTTAATTATTAGGAAAATTTTCAATTGGATCTAATATAAATTTAGGGACCTCTCCTTTAATTG